TTCGAGAATAGATGCCTCCGAAAGCTATTGAATGTTCACTGGTCGGACTTTAGGTCCAATACATCTATAAGACAGGAAACAAAACAAAAATATGTGTCTGATTTTATTAGAAAGCGTCGCTGGAATTACATCGGTCACGTACTCAGAATGGACATACAGAGACTTCCCCACCAAGCCTTCGTATGGTCACCAGAGGGTAAAAGAAAACAGGGAAGACCAAAAGAAACTCTCCGTAGAACCATCACAAGGGAGAGCTCAACCATGGGTCTCAGTCGCACTCAAGACCTACATCAAGTGGCAAAGAACCGACAGACGTGGAAAGCTATGACCTCTGCCCTATGCGCCATCTTTGGCACAAGAGGAATAACTAACTAACTAACGCATCTGTTATCGCCTGTCTCAAAGAACTCGGCTTTGAAATTTTCTTGATCATTAGTTCCTCAATTGTTCTCTCGTCTAGTTTCTCTAGTCATCTCAAGTTGATGATTATAAGAATGTGGCCATGCCAATAAAATCAGTACCAGAAGGGTTACATATGAACTACACACTGTCTGGTAGACAAAAAAGAATGTGCAATTTAAAATTGGGTTCTTCTTTATGTTCAGAAATCTCTGGCCATATTTTTAATATACAGCTGGTCATAAACTGGAATGTAAGCTCAAAGTCTTTTAGGTTTCCCCGCACCTTAGTTGTAGGGTCTACTGGGACATGTTGCTTCGCAAAGACATATTATGTGGTCTGTTCAGCCCAAAGAGGCTACAGGCAGCTCTTTGGCTTATACCTAATTTATGTGAGTTTGTCGAATCTGCAGTGTCCTGTTCATACGCGAAACATATATTGGTTAGTCCTATTCAGTTGTTTTAAAACAATCTTTGATTACCAACATTGTATTATGTAGACTATCCAAAAGGGATACATTAATGAAAGCAAGAACAGCGGCCCAGACTGTACTGTTTCCACAGTCGAAGTCGGATGCGGCGGATAGCTATGTGCTTCCCCTGCTGTGGTAGTGAGATCTCAATTTATTTATTGAAGTCTTATACTGCTGTCCACAAACCACAAGAGCGGTACAATGGAAACTGAAAAAAAAAAAAAAAGATGACGAAATTAAATAAAAATAATAAAATAAAAACGATGGAGCTGCAAGTAAAGACGAAAGCTGCTTTTACGCGCAGAAACCGAAAGAAAACAAAAGCAGCTTGAATCACTCAGAATTTATGCGACCCTGCCAAACATATCCGAACAATAGATAAACAAAGTTACATGATCTTTTTAAAATTCCCATTTTTGGCACATCTGAAACTTGTGTATATTTTGATTAATAAATCATCCTCAGCGCGGGGCATAAACGCGTTTATCAAAGTTTATGTGTTTGAAGACGAATGCTATTGTATGTCAATTTAATTTTTTAAATTTAACAAGGCTGTTTCTTGACTAATGTCTAGTGTGTCCTCTTCCTACTACTTCATCATCATCATCACTGTACTTATCGCCACGCTGTACCATTATATGTCAGATAAGGCTCCCATTCCGTTCTTTCATTCATTTCAACAAAACAGACGGGATCCGATCCAGCACCTTTGATATTTCTCATCAACGTTCCTTTTAAGGCTTCTCTTAGACGTCGTCTTCCCCAATTCCATGTATATCTCATCAAGGCGGTTTTCTATTTGCATTGTTTAAGACATTTCTCCTAATCCCCCCCCCCCTTTTTTTCCCCCTAACCTTCTTGAGAACATCCCATTTAATGTCCATCAGTTTCACAGACATTTTATATTCGATTGGCTTCAACTTTCGCTTTCATGTATTAAGCGTTTATTTAACTTTTGTTGACATATACTATTACTACATTTGAAATAGAGGCAAGTGACATCTGCAGTAATGAATCTAAAGGGCTCGGAAAGCTGAAGAAGAAGAAAGAGGACGAAGTACAAATCAATAAATCGCTTTACCAGGAAATACTTCAGACAACGTCACGATAGCCAAGCCGCTAAGGGATGTCACTCCTGACACATTAAACACACAAATTGGCGTTAGGTCGACGAGTTGCACGCTTAATTTGATTCAAGCATTTTGTGGGATACCTTTAACTGGTAACTTATGTAATTCTTACTTAGACATGGTTTTAATTTACTAGATTGTTGTAAACTAAGAATGAAGATTGTAATTTGCTGAAATAGAAGCATTCATGAAGAAAGTAATTATAATTATTTACGAATATACAATATCAATGATGTCGCAATTTTCTGAATTGGGGAAGTTTGTTAGTTTGTATAACTTTGTAGTGTATAGTGTATAATAAAATGATAATCTATAAACATAGAGTGAGTATTTTAAAATTAGACACATTTTCAGAATCATTTTTTAAATAGTGCAGCTAGTATACTTGGATAGATATTGAAAAATGCAATCAAACGATACCTAATTTAAGTTCGCCAAGCCGGAATATTCATAATAATTTCCTTGTTTAGTTAAGGTCAGTTATAAAAATAAATTATAGTAAAAAATTAATCAGAATTATTTCCAACCAACTATTGGACTAGCATTCAGCATAGTCATAGTAATAAAAAATGCAGTCACACTGTACCTCATTTAAGTCTGTACGTACTATACGACAGTTCTAAGCTAAGATATTTATAATTATAATTTGTTAGACACCAAGAGACCAGAAAATAGTTTTGGCAGTTTGGCCCTCCAGTCACTCCTTCGAATAGTAACCCCAGAGAGACGCAGTCTATGTCTATTGTAACTTGACATTGCGTTAACTACCGACTGTAGGGGATGTAATCCAATCTTTCTGTAAGTTGACACAATAATATTGATAACATTCGGCTATCGATATCCTCTGAATAATAGTCCCAGATTATCATTATCGAGGCCAGAAAATACTCTAACAGTAAGTAACAGGTCCTCAGTCATATGTAAATTGCGGACCTCTTTCTGGCAACTATACCGCTAGCGCGGAGGAGGGCTAAACTGATGATGGCTGGAACTCATGAGCAAATAAAATGAAACGAGATGCGGCAGCTGCTGCTTGTTAGTCCTAGCCATCTAGTTAAGCCCTCTGCACCATACGCGTTATGCAGGGAAAACTCGGCGGAAACTTTTCCGCATCATGCGGTATAGTCACCAGAAAGAGGTCCTGTTAGGGTATTTTCTTAGGCTCGATAATTTGGGGCCGTTATATGGAGGATAGCCTAACATTCTTTCATATTATTATATTTAATATTTTTTTTAGATTTGGGTTAGGGCTAATCTAATCCAAACAACCTAACCTGAAGCAATATTAAATATTACAGAACATCATTATGAGCAAATGTTCACAAATGATAAATTTTCTCTCCCCCCCTCCCCCCTCCCAATTACATCCCATTAGATTGTAACCCCATAGGGTCGCCATTCAAAGGAGTGCCTACATACTACTTTTTAGCACCTTCAGATTGTGTCCTCCAATAGAATAAATAATTTTTTTTTGTAACTATTTTGACAAATTCTCTATAATGTTTATAATTATCATCTTCACCATCATTTGCTATGTAGGTAATTGTTGTCTGTTTTGTTTTGCCATCTCACACGATCACAACAATCACAGATTAGCTGAATGTTATTGTCTCACCCCATCCATGCTGCCATAGCCATTGTCTCTTTATTTTTAAGTAGTCTAGTAGTAGGTAAAAAAGTAACGGATTGTTACAACTAGACACACTAGTTTTCTAAATTACCTGAAGCCCCAATTGACATCGTAACTTCCTCTTGCACCCAGTTTGGAGACCGCTGGTCTAGATGTTAAATCTTGTTCCTGTTAGTAGCTTTGTACTTTGTTTTTTTTTTTCTTCGTGGGAGATGAACTACAATTGTAGTATGTTTACAGTAACATACAACAGCAAGGAGCTGTTGGGGTTGGTTCTGCAATGTCCTTTAGTGGATACACAACTAACCTTACAGTAAATGTAAAATAAAGTAGGATGAATTCAAGAAGATTAAAGAAATAAGAAAAGTGCCTGCTGAGCTAAGATACTGGACACATTCTGAGAACAGACGAGCAGAGAATCACCAAACAGGCACTGAAATGGAATAGGGAAACAAGGACGCCCAAAAGAAGCACTAAGGTAGACATTAATTTAATGAGAGAAGTCAAAGGTGCTGTGCTGGATTCCATCCATGGTATGCAAGTGATTTCACAGGATAAAACTACAAGGAGAAAGACTGAGTCCTATGTGATCTATAATAATAGCATAACAGGACAATGGAGAATGATTACAGTACACAAATAATCTCTCTCTCTCTCTCTCTCTCTCTCTCTCTATATATATATATATATATATATATATATATATATATATATATATATATATATATATATATATATATATATATATATATATATATGTCATCCCTACATTGGACATTTGCTGCAGCTGATTTTGTGCATGCAGTGCTATCGTTGAGAATATAATGGAGATGCCATATTCTCTTCATTAGTGCATCACTTACTCCATTGTCTTAAAGCCACAGGAATGGTATTTTTTTTTAAATGGCCTGTCATGATAATCGAAACCTGGTATTCTGAGGTGTTTACTAATCTCTCTGCTCCGACAGAAGAAATTGCAACCAACTATGAGTGCTTTGCAAAAAAAAGTCATGTAATTACATAAATAACTGAGTCAGAAGGTTGTGGACAGACATAACTACCAACGCTACACATCATGGACAATAATAAGAACCTCTAATCCATAGAGTCTGTCTATAAATTTGTTTTATCTATCTGTCTAGGACATATGGCATTGACTGTAAGAACCTCTAATCCATAGAGTCTGTCTATAAATTTGTTTTATCTATCTGTCTAGGACATATGGCATTGACTGTAAGAAACTCTAATTTAGTCCATAGAGTCTGCCTGTCTATAAATTTATCTTATCTGTCTGTGTGTAAATTTTTGTTCGTAACAATATCTGCATTTGTAGTTTTTTTTTTATTTCTACAGAAGTTCACTCAGCAGCATGTCAAGACCATGGCAAGACTTCCAGCCTCGCAGACCCTCACCATATCATTATGTGGCTTCTGACCATGCACCAGAAGTTTACGCTGGCCCCACAGAATACATGGAGCCTGGTGTCAGGGGCTTCTTGGTGAACACTTTGTGGGGCAAGGAAGAAATTGGCATTGATGATGCAATGAATCTTTTAAGGCAAGCCTCAATCAAGCTGTATGGGGGAATCAAGGTAAACACTGAGGTGGATGTGCTTGTATAGTTTAACTTTTTGAATAGTTTACATACATGTTTACTTACTGCATATTCAAAAGAAAAGTGAAGGTTTTGTATATTTGACATATGTTTACTTACTGCATATTTAAAAGAAAAGTGAAGGATTTGTATATTTGACATATGTTTACTTACTGCATATTTAAAAGGAAAGTGAAGGATTTGTATATTTGACATATGTTTACTTACTGCATATTTAAAAGAGAAGTGAAGGATTTGTATATTTGACCAATGTTTACTTACTGCATATTTAAAAGGAAAGTGAAAGATTTGTATATTTGACATATGTTTACTTACTGCATATTTAAAAGAGAAGTGAAGGATTTGTATATTTGACCAATGTTTACTTACTGCATATTTAAAAGGAAAGTGAAGGATTTGACATATGTTTACTTACTGCATATTTAAAAGGAAAGTGAAGATTTTGACATATGTTTACTTACTGCATATTTAAAAGGAAAGTGAAGGATTTGTATATTTGACATTTGTTTACTTACTGCATATTTAAAAGGAAAGTGAAGGATTTGTATATTTGACATGTTTACTTACTGCATATTTAAAATGAAAGTGAAGGATTTGTATATTTGACATATGTTTACTTACTGCATATTTAAAAGGAAAGTGAAGGATTTGTATATTTGACATATGTTTACTTACTGCATATTTAAAAGAGAAGTGAAGGACCCTTTTCATGCCAGTGTTATGCAAGACTAGGATTTAATAGACCAACCGGCAATTGATGGGTGATGTGTTAAACATCACGTTGGCCACCGTTACTTTCTAGCTATCCAGGACATTACCTGGTATTACCCGACAACCATTTTGAGCTGGGTCGATTAGGAGTCGGCATCAATTTTTTAAAATCCATCTTGATATGGATTTAGCCCCAAGACCTACAGGTGAGCATCTAGCCACTACTTTACTGCAGCTTCCTCACTGTATAGTTTACCTGAATGTTTACTTTCTGAATAGGTTAATTGTCTTTTCTGTATATTTTACGGATAGATTTGCTTTCTGTATAATGTGCATGTTGGTTTTCTTTCTCTATTATTTTTGTAATGCTTCTTGTTATCCTTGACAGCCAAAAACGAAGAAGGCGATTGCTACTAAAGGTTATGTGAAAATTGACTTCACGGATCCAGAAACTGTGACAGTCTTGCCTACACCTGAAGGAGAAGAGGAGGAGGAGGAAGAAGAAATTGAAAAGGAGCAGGTATGTTTAGTGAGGGTGTCCTTCAATATCAGTAGCTGCTAGTTAGTTAGTTAGTTAGTTGGGTTATCCTCATTGCACTCCGGACATGTCCATAGGTGCTCAGATCCTCCCCTCAGTATGAACCCCAACGTCCGATGGCTAATAGTACCAGTTCTATGTTGATTAACAAGTCTTCTGGCGTAGCTGGTGTGCGTCTCGTTTTTTGCTGTGCCGATCTTAATTCCCAAGTCTGCCATTCTGGCGAGTGATGTGGATTCACTGCCACCAAAGTCCTCTATTCTTCCCATTTCTCTGAGGGCATTGATAATATCAGCATGATCCATAGGCTGACCGTCAGTAGTGATAGCGGATCCAGCCAACCTGTCAGCTCTTTCATTTCCATTGACGCCTGCGTGTCCCGGAACAAAAATAAAGGTGACTCCACGAACAGTGGACTTCTGTAATGATTCAAGCCATTGTCTTCGCACTGAACCTGCCTGAACCCTCCGGATCATACTCATTGAATCACTGAGTATACACACGCGGGTGTATTTTTGTGTTTCAAGCCAGGCAAGCGCTTGTGTCACTGCCATCACCTCCATCGTCATGCTGCTGGTTGTCATGGAGAAGGCGCCGTTGGCTTCTTTGACTGTTCTGCCCGCTGAGCGTGCTGTAAATGCCCATGCGCTTCTTTTTTGGCGTATAACAGATCCGTCTGTATAGATTATTGCATCTGCTTCGTCTGAATTTTCACCGATGAGAGCGTTGACCTCTGCATTAACAGCAACAGGATTCTCTTCTCTACATCGCCTGTTGAGTGTGACAATACAGGAAAATGTACAAATAAACAGCCTGAGGCTGCTAGTTATTACCATCTAACAGATACATCACATTTATTGATAAATTTCCCTCCTTGGGTTCTGGTTTGGGATAACGAACGAAGGGATTTATTTTCAGAGGGTTACAATTTGGCCATTTAGGCCCATCTTACATTCGGCCCTTCCAGGCACTCATCTTTCAGACCACAAATGCATGTTATGTTTAAATAAAAATTATACATAAATAAATAATGCTTTACACATCATGTATACACACTCCATATATACACTTAACTATGATATGCCCATATGTACACAAGCACACATACATAAACATTTATACACCCATACATACTCCCTAATACAAACACATACATGCACTCATGCTCATACAAACACCCACACTCGTGCGTATACATGTACACCCAAACTCATGAGTATAATACATATACACCCATACTCATGCATATACATATACACCCATACTCATGCATATACATATTCTATTGCTCATCTTTCATACATTTCCTAACTTTCGATTATAATTAAGCAGACTGTGGGTTCCTTGCGCATCAGGCAGATGCACCCCAGCTTTGAAGGAAACACTCCCAATTCTGTATAAAATATTGGTTCTAGCGAGACCCGCCTAATGCACAAATGTCTTGAAAATATGTATGCGAATGTGCACACACAGAAAAGGGACATATTCACACAGGTGCTATTTTGAACATGTATACTGTTTTTTTTAAATATTTTTGTGAGTTTGATTATGTAAGCTGTATAAAAGTACATGCTAGTTGTTTGATCTCTTTCCGTGTGAGTTCTTGGGCAAAAAAAAATTTTTGGGAGGGGGGGGGGGGGTTGACCCTCTGTCCCATTAAAAGATTGTCACAAATGGTGAATAATTAGAATTTGCTGAAACTGAACATGTTATGCTAAAATATTCAGATATCAACCTGGATGTAAACCACAAGATAAATTGTAGAAGTCTGCTAATCTCTGCTTATATCCGAACAATCAAAAGCAGGTTATAATATCATGAGAGCCAACTAAATTTGTTGAGTCAACAGTGATAAATTGGCTTCTGTGGCTTACTGAACACAGTATCATGATTCTGACAATGTTGGCCTCTGTGGCTTGGTGAACACAGTATCATAATTCTGACACTGTTGGCCTCTCGGCTTGGTGAACACAGTATCATAATTCTGACATATAGTAGGAGAAATATGACAGCAGATCATTTTATGTTGATTTGACAGCTGTGTGGGCCTTGAACCATACATAAAGCAGTGACAAAAAAACTAAACATACAAAAATTAGCTAGAAACATCAGGGAAGTAAATGTGGTCCATGTGATGTTGGCCACATACCGGGCAAGTGAAGATTATCTGTACAAATATGTATAGCCCCTGGTGCCAAATGCACCTTTGGTGCGGATAGGGTCTTTACAACATTGATAAACTCACACCATGGTAACTAGACTTCCAAGTCCTTGAGGGTCATTGCTGCAGACATCACTTGCCTCCATTTACCTCTCTGATTGGCCTTCTCTTTCCAGTTAATACTTCCAAGTGTTTGTTTGTCTGCATATATATATCTTTTTCTAACTCTCATTGACAAGGCTATAATGCACAAGATGTTCTTCGATTTTATAAAATGCAGTTTTTGCCTGTCCTATTATGTTTCTTATCTCCGTTATGCATCTTCCATCTGATGTTATCCGTGTGCCCAGATACTTAAATTTCTGTACTTGTCCTAAAATAACACCATCAACTTTTATTACACATTGAGGAAAAATTTGTTTCTTTGATACCACCATTACTTCTGTCTTTCCATTGTTCTAACTGAGGCCCATTCTTCCACTTTCTAACACCACAATGTCTATTATTTCCTGTAGTTCTTTCTGACTTGTTGCTATCAAGACTGTGTCAACAGCATAACGTAAACTGTTTATATTGTGCCCACCAACCGCTGTTCCAGGCATATCAATTAAAGATATCATTATATATTCACTGTATATTGAAGATACCGTAAATCTGGCAGAAAGGTGGCTTTTTTGCCTACCCCTGGATGTGAAACCGGACCACAAGGAGTTCATCACCCGGTTGCCACGAAGTCAGGTTTAACCAACTATGCTAACAAGCTAGGGCGTTTGTCTGCTTATATATTCTGTCTCCACGTTCTTTTTTGGTCCGCCTCGTGTTCTACTGCCATTCAACTCTTTTGTGTGCCTTTCTTTTTTTATCTTTCTGTTGCAGCCATTCTCTCTGTATACCCAAATCATCACAGTCTGTTAGTCCTCATGATGCCAGTAACAATGCATTGTGAATTTTCTTGTTGCTTTTCACTTTTCATTCTCTGCTGTTTGCATCTTAGATGGGTGGGTCTGGAGACATCCAAAGATTCTGTTCTTAGTAGTGTGTCATAGGGCTTTGTCTCTTTTAGTTGTACTCCAGGTTTCAGAGACATGTTAAACAGTTGGTCTTATCTGTGTTTTATATACTGTAATCTTACCAGAAAGAGCAGCTGTTATAGTTCAACCACATCAGGCTGCATTTGTTTTTTTTCTATTTTTTTCCAGGAAAAGGAACCTGCACAGACAAATGGTGCCGAACCTGAGAAGCAAAATGGCGGCAGTAAGACTGAACAGGGAGCAACAGATGAGAAAGAGGCTAAAGAGGAAAAGGCTGCAGATGTTGCTACTGAGGCTAAGAAAGATAAACCAAAAATTGAGAGTCAGGATGCTCAAGCAGAAAAACCTGTTGAAGCTTCTCCAGACAAACAGAAAAATGAAAGCCAGGATTCACAAGCTGAGAAGAAAACTGAAGCTGGTCAAGAGACTAAGAAGAGTGAAAGTCAGGATCCACAGGCTGAAAAGACCACTGAAGCGGTTCCAGAAAAAAAGGGAGAAATACATGAAGTGCAGTGGATGAGGAGCCCTTACAAGTTCAAGGCACTCCGAACAGAGATTAGAAACTTGATGTTTATCAGGTCTAATGTACCAGACCCTGTTCAGATTGCTAATGCTGCCATGGAGATCATCATCAGTCGCAGAATCATTGAAGGAGACGCAGTGCGCCAGTTGCTGCCAGTAGTAGGTGTATGCCTGAATGATCTCCACCAGGTCAGTGATATGTTGTGCTTTAATTCAGTTTGTCAAGTGGTAGTAGTTTTCTTGATCATCATTAAGTACGATCTTGTGAGTGCAGTTGTGTGGCTTTGAGGTAGCCAGTGCGTTCAGTGATTAGTTAGGATTAACATCACTGCAGATCCATCGGTGCTGGGTCTCCTCAAAAGATCCACAGGCGTTAAAACTATAGAAGCTGTCTATCAGCTAATGGCAGTCTCAACTTCAGTGGCATATAGGTCGCCCCATAGTTGCTCCATTGCTGGGATTAGATATCTAATCATGTTCAGTGAGTGGTAGCATAGTATGTATTGCTGATCCTTTAGTATCAGCTGATAGAGACTGTTAAATGTGTCACTGCAAAAAGACCTTCATCAGTAACACAAACATACAGTTACAGCAATAAAGAAATGAAATAGATTTTTTGTTTTTACGGTAGGTTGTAAATAAAATAATCGTTTGATATATTTCCCTGTGTAGGTTCCGGGGCCCTGTTATAGGGGGAACAAGAATAGACCCACTGCCTACCCAAAAGCATGTCGTAAGGGTCGACTAATTGGGGGCTTCCCTCAAAGTCGGAGTGCATCTGCATACAAATGAGTCAGATCTGCAAAACGGATGCACACGTAACACTCTAGTTCTGGAATAGGACTGCAGTCCAGAAGTGGGTGAACAACCAGAACTTTCCTCCAGAGTTTACAGCTGGTGAACATGAAGAGGAAGAAGATAATATTGTATTAATACATAAATTCAACATCTTTGAGTAAATAATATAGATTTTCACCAGTAAGTGTACAACAAATAACAATACTATGCAGAATTGAATTTCATGTTTAGTTTCAACAGCTTGACACCCCAGTTCAAACAGTAAGCTCTGTGTTGATTTCTTGAGTACTTTATTTAGTAGATGTAATTTGTCAAATACATGTTGTAATTGTAGACAACTTTTGATTTTTGTTTTTCAGCTGGAGATAATGGTGCGACATGTTGTTGGGCCTCTGTTTGATGAGGCTCATGGGCCCAAGGGATTCAGCGTGTTCTTGCTGGACAAGTTATCCGAGCCTGCAGCAGATTCACTTATAGAGACTGTCCGTAACACAATCTGGGCCATCAATCCCTTGGCCTATCAGGCCTCTGCCTTGACAGAGCCTGACGTTCTGATAAGGCTGGAGATTATAGGCAAGAAGTTGGTGTTGAGTTGCCTGGATCATTTCATGAGGTAACTGATGTATAATATCTTTGTCCCGTTTTTAATTACCTGTGCTGTTTAAATAAAGAAAAATACTTTAAGCATAAGGGGAGGAAACCAGCGTGGACTCCAAGCCGCACAAATATACAGTGTATATTAAAGTAGACCTTGAATCTAAAAGTTGCATCACGGTGAGGCTCGGGTTCAATCCTCAGTAAGGGATGGAGATTTTCTTTGACCTACACAGTTAGTGCCATTGCACCCTCTGTGCAGCCTCAACTCCTCATGACTTCTCTGTCCTCAGTATAGACAGTTTTTGTTAAAAATATCATTTTATAAATATATGAAACTTGCATTGTCAGCATTTTTGGCTTAATGGTTGTGAATGTGATTTCATAATCCTGGCATGCCAGAATTCACTGAGAATTGCAGGAACTTTGTTAATAGACTGCTTTTGCATAGAATTTGACAAAAGTATTGCCATACTGTGCTGACATCAATGGCCCACTACTACCTAGCGTAGCATTATAGAAAAGCCATATGTCAGCCATTTTATGCTTTAGAATTCAAACAGAATATGCAACTAACCTTTTTATTTTATTGTTGTTGTAACTATTGTATCCCTCCTGTTTAGATAGCATATGCTATCTATTTACAGATTCAAAGACTTCCCAAATGCCTGTTAATAATCTATACTACTCATTTTCAAAGCCCTCGTAAACTATTGCCTATTAATTATATGTAAACATGTTCAATAAATTCTTATTTGGGTATTTGTCTCTGTCATCATCATCATCATCTCCCTGTGTGAGCTCCGGGCCCAATTTGGAAGGGGGAGGGGCTGACCCACTGCCTCCTAGCTGATATACCTTTAAGGGCAACTTATTAGGAGTTTGCTGAATTAGAAAGTGTTGGGCTGAAAGGCATGGATATCCATCTGCAATACTTGCCCACAGTGATTATTATCCTAGTGAAAGAGTTAAGGAAGGGGCAACTGAAGAACAACCTGACATACCAGCTTCTCATCAACAGAAGAAGAGAATAATCAAACCAATCAGAAAGCCACCAAAACTGGCACAAGACGATAATCGTATTATAGGCAGTCCAGAGCAAGTCATTATTCTACGCCTTAGAATAGGTCACAGTTGACTTCGCAGCCACATCTACACAAAATTAAAGATCAGCGAATCAGCCATGCGTACATATGGATTGACACCTGAGACAACAGATCACGTCCTCCGAGGCTGTCCCAGATCAGATACAGCATATCAAGGCAAAACTTTTGGCCAAGAATGCAAGCCAAACTTTACTATGTGTTCCTAAGTGAACTACAACAGACAGTGAAGGTCATACTAGAGACAGCATTACAGATATAGATAATCTATTTCAAGTGAACGAAATAAGAGGAAGATTAAATTACCCCAATATTCTTCTGCAATCGTTCTGCTGTTTCTGTCTGTTCGACACCATGCCTACCATGTTCCAGTGGGAAAATTTGGCTAATGGTGTCCTGTGCATTCACCATCCAGGGCTGCTCCCTCTTTAGGTACTTTTATTTGTTCACTCATAGGCAGCTGTGCAGAGATATCTTATTGTTTACTGTACATTACTGTTATGTAAGTTGTTACCATTTGGGATGCTATATTTCGTTATTTGAAGCCCCACCCTGGCTTTTGCCAGGGGGCCCTGAATATAGCCGGGCCATAAATACGGCCCAACTCTTTTGTGAGTCACCGCGACGTAGCGGCTAGATGCTCGTATGCGGATCATATCGTGGGTTTGCTCCCTAGCGGAGCTGGACTTTAAAAAAAATGGCAGTGGCTCCCGAGTCAACCCAGCCTTGAATGGGGTCCTAGGTGCAGTCCTGGAAAGGTAAGGTGGCCGGCATGATGCTGACCACATCACTACAAAATATAGGTCTAGCCCTATATGCCTAAAGGCGTTGAAAAGGGTCCTTTACTTTAAAAAAAAAATACTTATCCATTACTGGCTAAGCAGTTAAAAACACTGGCTCTAATTTGAGAGACCCAGCTTTCATAATATCACTTTTAACTAAAGCTAAAATTAAATTTTGAAGTGCGTAATATAAAAAAAAAAACGGTTATTTTACTATTGTGAACTAATTTGTCTTCCTACTTTGCAGATATCGCCACTACAACCCCAAGGTGCTGATTGACTCTGGAGTGGGAGAAGCTGAGGAGGATGATGAAACTTGGATTCCAACTGAAGTGAGGAAAATGCAGGAGATGATTAGATTGGAGAGAGAGAAAAGGAGAGAGGTAGAAAGGCAGAGAGAGGAGGAGTTGAGGAAAGAAAGGGAAAAGAGACGAGAAGAGCAGGAAGCCAGGAGACGTGAAAGAATCAAAGAAGAACGAGAAAGAGAGGAAAGGAGGCGTGAAAAGGAAAGAGAGAGGGAAAAGGAGAGGGAGAAAGAGCGACAGATAAGATTAGAGAAAATAAAACAAGCTGAAAAGGAAAAGGAGGAGAGTAAAAAGAAGTTAGAGGAGCAGCAGAAGGAAGAGGGAACTACTAAACCAGAAGATGGGAAAAGTGGGAAGGAGCAGCAGAAGGAAGAGGGAACTACTAAACAAGAAGATGGGAAAAGTGGAAAGGAACAGCAAAAGACCGAAGGTGTCAGTAAACCAGATGCAAAAAATGAAAGGGTAGAACAAAAAGAAGAGGCCAACAAGAAACCAGAGACCAAAGTTGGAAAACAACCGGAGAAGAAAGATGTTGCTTTGAAATCAGAAGAGATTGCAACTAAAGTGGGAGCAGAGAATAAGGTACCAGAGATTATCACAAAGCCAGCTGAAGTGAAAGTGGCTGAACAAGCACCCGAAAAACGGCCAGCTGAGCAAGCACTCAAGAAACAGTCAGATGAGCAGAGTGAAGAGGCTTCGGTGCAGGCAAGTCGATCATCCGAAGATGCCCCTCCTACAAAGAAAGCAAAAGTTGAAGAGGCAGAACCAGTGACAGAAGAAGCTGAACAAGAGGAGAATATGGAAGAAGCAGAGGCTGCTGAAGAAGAAACCAAAGACAAGAAAACACAGAAAAGAGGAAAAGCAGCCAGGGGTGGGAAAAGAAGAAGCAGCAGGAAGTAGATGCCTTTGAAAACATCTCATTTTCAATTTGTTAAGTTGTAACATTTTTGGCAGTGGTGCAACACAACTTGTAACTCAACAGTTAGTATAGAATATTGTGTATGAAGGTGGTAGAAAGGCAGGGCAGTGTTAATGTTTACATGTCAAAATGTTACATAGGTGTTTTCCGTGTTGTTTGAAAATATAATAAAATAATAGTCTAAATAGAAAAAGCTCTCCCTGGGTCACATCTTGTTGATATTTGATGCGTTATATGAGCCACATACCCTGGTGTTTCTTTTCATGGATCCTTTTTATAAATAGTGAATGCACACACAACATAATTGCCTGCCATATTTTACTCAAACCTGTACAAGAACCGCCATGGGCCGTGAGTCCCATTCCTCCTTATAGCGCAATATTAGACTATCACCTGGAAAGAGGGAAAGGTGCCAATCAGTTCGCTATCTCATCAGTTGCATTACTGTACAGGATAAGTAAGTTTTCCATAGATTTGATAAATACAATATTACCACCGCCATTACAAGCCCAACTCCAGCTGTGCGTATGTGTATTCTTCAGTGGTGGAAAACACATTGGAATGTGTTTTTTTATCTGTGGAGTTTTGACAGCATAAAACCTTTCAGTTAAAATATACAAATTGAATTGCCTCTTGGTACATTTATATCTCAGCAACAAAATTCTAAGATAAAAAACATGATCACCACGGAAGTTCAGGATTAATGCTGTGTTCTTTCGCCGAGTTTACTAGGATTCCATACGCTGTGTCTTCTTGTGCCTGAATCCTTTTCTTTGTTCAGGTTGTGGTTCCTATCCCATTTTCATGCCTCACATGCTTATATCTTTCAGTTGTATCTGTGGGCTTCCAGTATCTGTCACCATTCGGCCGCTGTAAATAGAGAATGTCTTTTAGAATGTAATCCCCTTGTAACATGACCAAGTCATCACATTGTGCACTGTCTCAGAAGCATGTCCTTGGTCATTTCATTTGTATGTAAGAATATTTCTTCTTCTGCACGTTCACCAGCTGTAAACTCAGGTAGAAAGATTGTCCTGTTCCTTCACCACTGGTCTTTGACCAGAGAGTTTTGCAAGCACATCCGCTTTACATATCTGGCTCATTTTTACGCAGACTGATGATTCCTTAGGCAGATACACTCCAACTTCGATGGAAACCACTAAATAGCAGACACCTCGACATTCTTGGATGGTCGGCAGTGGAATTATTCTTGTTTTTTCCCACGCCAAGGCCCTGGAACCCACACATGGAAGGAGTACAATGTTTATCCTTCTAGGGATCTGAGAGAAAACAATTTCCGTATGTGGAGAAGGTTTAATTTATTTTGTTGGTTCTTTCACTGGGTTCTCAGTGAAAGCAGCCAAACTATTTGCCTCATGCTGTGAAATTAATGGCTTGTTTGAAGCTGCCTGTTTTAGTTCATGAGTGCATTATTTGTCTGAAGATCCATGAAAGTTGCTCTTGCTATGGCATTTGTGCTTTTTGCTGAGCACTCAACTGACACCAAGCCACAGCATGACAAGAAAGTAGGCCTTATGGGATAAACCTGTGCATCATTAAATAGATAGCTAAGGGATTATGGATGGAGTTCTTAATTCTGAAATACCTAGTTTCATTTGGGGATGATTTGGCAGCAGACTGTTTTGTGTTGATTTCGACAATGATATGGAGTGTTGGCTGATTATAAAGCAATGGCAAACTACTCAAAATAAAATGTCCTTATAAAATAGCAAACACATGGTGTTTGCAACCTTCTGTAAAGGATATGCAACTTATTTTTTTCTGAAGATGTTGTAGCTGATGTCTGGCTGAGGCATGATGAATGTGCTTCACAATTCCAAGTTACCTGGTTTGGTTCTAACTGAGCAGTTTGGTTGAAGACCACCTTGCATTGATTTTGACAGGGATATCAAGAGTGACTTTTCAGAGGCAGTGGCAAACGATTAAACATAAAATTGCTTAGTGACACTAATTTTTTTTTTTTAAAGGCAAACAAATGCCCAGGTTCTACAACATCCTGTACCCTATTTTAGTTTTTTTTAAATATTTCTAGACATAGGTAAAGTTTGAAACATTGTTCTAGTAAACTGTTGCTTTCTGTTGTTCAGTGCGACGTCTGAGTGTTGTCTTTTACCTTCATACATTAAATGCTTCCCAATTATTGATTGTGGACTTGTAATTATTCTTTGTTCTTGTACAGGTTCTCAATCATTGTGTGTGTTTGTATCTATTCTCTTTACTTTGTGTGTGTTTGTATCTATTCTCTTTACTGCTTGTGTGTGTTTGTATCTATTCTCTTTACTGTTAGTGTGTGTTTGTATCTATTCTCTTTACTTTGTGTGTGTTTGTATCTATTCTCTTTACTGTTTGTGTGTGTTTGTATCTATTCTCTTTACTGTTTGTGTGTGTTTGTATCTATTCTCTTTACTGTTTGTGTGTGTTTGTATCTATTCTCTTTACTTTGTGTGTGTTTGTATCTATTCTCTTTACTGTTTGTGTGTGTTTGTATCTATTCTCTTTACTTTGTGTGTGTTTGTATCTATTCTCTTTACTGTTTGTGTGTTTTTTTGTTATTGTAATTATGTGTATTTTGAATCTTTCTGCCAATTTAGTTGGCGTCTGTGGCTTGTGTGTTTTGACACATGCTTCACAATTCTGAGGAGCGAGTGTAATCCCAGCTCCTAGCGATTTGGCAACAGATTGATTTGCAATGGTTTCGACATTGGTATTGAGAGCCAGCCACTTAGAAAGCAATGGCAAACTAATGAAAATGATATTGCCTAGGGAAATTACAAACAAGCCAAAATATGCTGTGGTTGGATCTGCAACGTCCTCTAAAGGATAAGTAATTAACTTTATTGTGTTGAACATCATTAATGTAAGTACGCAAAACTCAGTCCGTTGCACAAACCCAAAGTCCAAATGACTAACCAACAGTACCTTCTGCCAGAGCTTACAGTTGGTGAACAAATGAAAAGAAGATTATTGTATGTGTATCTGTGAAATTACAATGTAGTTGTGCTACACTAGACTGTGTTAATACTAGAACATGTATTTAACACATCACTGTTGTTGTTTGTATATTTCAGAAATCATGCAGGTAAATAACATGTCACATTGTTATTAGTATAAGACTAACATTCCACCCAAATGTAACCTCTTAAACACTGAAATGTATTTGTGTAGATGTGGGCAGTAGCATAAACACACAGATTTTTAGTGAGCTGACAGGAAGTCCTTACTGCACATTGAACCTAATGATTGTTTTATAGTTTGTTTATTTGATGGATCAACATCATGGCACACAAGTGCAGCCCATAAGTACTGCGTTCTACTTCTAACTCAAGCCTGGATCTGAAGAATCTCAGCTCAGTGCACGAACTATGTTGCACAGGCGAGGATCCAGAAATACTATATGTGGATTTTTAACTCAAAATTTTTGCCCGGGCAGCGCCGTTAGTCTACTCTTGTCGATCTCCAACTGCCAAGGGATGTTTTATGTGCGCAACAATATACACAAGCATCTCATCTTACTACCCAGAGACCAGGAGAAATTATTAAATGTTCACGGGAAAACAATCCCAGCCTCTACCGGGGCTTGAACCCAGGACCTTCAGCACTCGAGACGGACAACATACTCCAAAAACACTCAGCTCCAGCGTGAATGAATGAAGAACTGACATTGCTGCAATGAGGACACGCCCATGTAGGCTCTATTTCCTATCTCGAAAGCTAACAAAGAGTTCCCATACTGATGGTGGCTATTACAACCTGATTAAAAGTTTGCCTGTTTTCTCGCTTATGGCGTCCAAATTGTCTGCTTGCTTCCGGCTGAATCATTCTCTGCAGATATAGATGCTTTGTCTATTCTGAAGAATCAGTCAGTCCATAAGTGCTTGGATACCTGTTTCAGCAAATACCGCAGAGTGTAGCGGTTGACAAAACCAATTCTATGTTAGTTTCTTCTTTAGTTTCCTGCATAGTGCTGTCATTTTAACTTACCCCTTTTCGCGTGCAAACATACAGTGGTATGAAGAAATATCCCTGATCAGTATTTTTCCTATACATTCAGTAGAAGTCTGTTCACAGTCAACGACTTGCACATTTGAGAAGGAAACACAACTAGTCTAGGCCTAATCTTAGTCAGTTTATATTTGATAAAATGTAGTGTGTTGTCTCTGCAGCTGAAATATTGTGGACACTTCAAGCGCCCCTGCAGAATGAAAAAATAAAACAGCAGAAGTCATGGTACCACGAAGGAGGGGCAGGGGCCGACCAACACGAAGATGGGCACAGCATATAAGTGACTGCTTAAATTTGAAAGTACACGAGGTGGGGACCTGACGAGAGTAGGAGTTTCTTTCAGGCAGTCTGTGATGAGAGCGACGTTCTGCAAAGGACCTGCTATATGATGATGATGAGTGTATTGATTGACATTCGTAAGTAAATTACCCTAAGGCATACTGGGCACAAAGGACAACATATATCTTTTTCATCAACCGGTGCTCGGTGATGTGGTCAGCATCACACGTAGCTTCTTTAGATTTTCTTCAAGATCTTCAATTTGCGCATTCAGCTGCTTGTTTTCCTCAAGATTGACAAAAGCTGTTCTTCTAAGACCTTACCTTGCTTCCATGCTTTTTCAAAAGTTTTTATAGTGTCCACATACTCTGGGTTTTACTAGTCTTATGTTTAGCTTTCCACAAAGTAAGCGACTAAGTGTTGTCACTGAAGCTGGCGGCAAAACATCTTGTTCTGCATGCAGTTCCTTATTTGTATGTCGCTCGTTGACACTGCTGGCTTAAGCTGGTATTTTTTTTTTTTTTTTTTCTGGTGATAGCATCTTACATGACTGTTAAATGCCAGGTGATTTCACTTGTGCGCAAGTTTGCACTGTCTGCAGGGGTTTCTGAGGATGTATTAGTGTTTCTAATAATGCTGGGGCATATGTTCGCCCAGGAAGCTCTGATGCAGGTACAGC